ATGGTTTGTGGAAGCCCTAAACGTGTATAATCACTAAAGGGAGAATTGAAAGTAAGTTTCAATTCACAATCGATTTGAAAGAGTTCTAATCGCCCACTGCCTCGCTAAAAGGAACCTAATGGATCGTACATCGTGTAAAGTAAGGATTGAAGAAACAACGGAGATGAGTAATGATAATTAAATGGTTTAATTATTTATGGCAATGATTAATTAATATGTTAATTAATCAAACGAATAAAGTTCGTTAAAGACCTCGGGTTAGTTTTGGGCCGCAAGGCCCAATGGGATTTGAATGTCAAGCTCATTAACTCAAGTTGTATGACAACTTGAAAACACAAAGGGCTTGAAAGCCCAAAGAACCCTTAATGGCCGGCCATATAGAGAGGGGTAGTGAACTTGGCTTAATTGCAAGTTTGCCACTCCATTGTGAGGTGGTATAAAGGCAACTTTATAGCCATTTCATCCTTAGGGTTTCTTTTGGAGAAAATTTGAGAGAACATGTCTCTCCCTTTCTCTCTAGGAGGCCGGCCCCTTGGAGGAGATTAGCTAGCAATCTTTCCTCCTCCAAGGCGACTTATCTCTTCTTCAAGTCCATCCTTGGTGTGGAAAAATTAGAGGTTCTCAACTTTGGGAACTTGGAGAATCCTTTCAACCATCCTCATCCAAGAAATCCATGGATCTAAGAAGCAAGGAATGAAGGCCCTCTCTTTGGGTGATTAGCCTTTGCTTATGCAAAGAGGAATCAACAAAGGTATAAAATCTCTCAACTCACTTTGTTCTTGAGTTGAGTCTTGGTTCACCTTTCTACTAGGCTTTGAATTTCATGGGTAATGTTTTGTTTTTGAGTGCATACAAGCATGATTCCGCCTTTAATTGTTAATTGCATGCCATAGATGTTGCTCAAATGAACATGTTTTTCACAAAATTTCCTTCAGGGTCTTATTGGCAGATTATGGGAGGTGACACCACTCAGGTCTGGGTGGATCGATGGATCCCGGCGCTGGTGGCGGGTCATCCTACTTCGATACAAGGGGTTAGGGTAGAGCCGTCTGAACTGGTCTCTTCTCTTATTGATCCTATTACCCATGTGTGGAGAATTGATTCTGGATTGGACCAGTTTAGAGATGAGGAACGTGGAGAAATTTTAGATACCCCAATTGGGGTGGCTGGGAAATTGGATAGGTTGATTTGGCCTGCGGATCAAAGGGTGAGGCATACTGTTAAGTGGGGTTATCAATGGATCTTATCAGTAATCAGAGACCTTTGATTTTAGGCCCATCAACTTCGGATCCAGTTGACTCTGGCGTGTGGCGGTGTATCTGGAAATTGACTGTCCCAACAAAAATTATGAACTTCGTGTGGAGGTGCCTTCACAAGGCTACGGCTACCAAGTCAAATATGTTTCGTCGACGGTATGCCTCTTCCCCACTTTGCCCAATCTGTCACAATAATGAAGAGTCGATGGAGCACGCCCTACTACCGTGCCCATGAGTAGACCATGTGTGGTTTGGGTGGATAGGGGCCTCGCTTTATGATAATTTGCTATAACCTGCTGGTTTATCTGGAAGGCTCGATGTGATGCGGTGTTCAACAAGAAGCTGTCTTCCCCTACCCAGACGGTGCACACTATTTCCTCTGTTTTGGTGGCCTTCAAGGAGGCGCGTGCCCGTCGTCGGGTCCATCGTGATAGCGTATATATGCCCTCGGCTTGCAAACAACCTTCGTTGGTCCCCTCCTTCTCTTGGATCGATGAAGGTCGATGTTGACGCTAGCTGGCGATGTTTCGATGCTTAGGGCCATGTAGAGGCAATGATCCATAACTCTAGCTCGGTTTTATTGGTGATAAGACGCAGGGCGATCCAAGCTCGGAACGTCCTGCTGGTGGAGGCATTGGGAATACTAGAAGGATGTGTGCTTGTTTGGCTTATGGGGTTTGCGAAATTGATTGTGGAATCGGACTCGATGGATCTTATCTCATGCCTAAATGGGTGCATTGAGAATGTAGGCTGGGAGGTGTTTCCTACTCTTGGCAAGATTCAACAGATAGGAGCAGCTTTCATAAATTGCGTCTGGTTTTAGGTTTCCAAGGTCAGCCAATGGAGTGGGCGAATTTTGTAGCGTCGCACACAGGTGCGAGGACGTGCAACCTAATCTGGGTCCAACGACCCCCATCTTGGTTTGTTAGTGTTTTAAACAAGGATGGTCTTCCTTGTCCTTCAATCTAATTTATTTAGCTTTCTGAGGTTGTAAAAGAGGGATGCTGATGTGTATTTTACGTCTTGTTTGCTTTCCTTTCCCTCTATATTTCGATCGGATGTTGTTTGCCCTTGTGGGTTTCTGTTCCTCTTTGGCTTCGGTCCTAGTAATGATATTTCTAGTTATCCCAAAATAATAACGAAGCTCAGTGCCCTATTGTTGTGTGGATTCAGACGTTGTTCTTCTTCCTCTCCCTTCGCTTCTCTTTCTCTCTCAGATTCAGATGAGAATGAGTGGCACGAGCTCAAATGACATAGCAAGACACCAAATGTTTGGATTATGGATGCAGTTTTATTGAAATGTTAGACTAATTATCTAGGGTTTTGTGTTTGCATGTTATGGATTTAGGTACAACTTGAACTGGGTTGTTTGTGTCTAAGATTTGGTTTCAATTTAAACTGAATTGATTGCCATTAACCAGCTTCTCTCTCTCTCTCTCTCAAAAAACAAAAAAAACAAAAAAACCACATTTTATCCGTCACCATCAGGTTATTTAGCAGCCTCTCATCCCTCTTAAGTAAGTTCTTAAAGAGGTTTATGGTATGTTCTCGCCCTAGGATGGGGCAGCCTCTCATCCCCTTAGCATGAGGCAACCTCCCTCCGCCAAAACTTTTTTTTCACCAAAATAAAAATGACAATGAGAGGCATTCGAGCATGGAACCTCATGTATAAAGACAAAAACTCTCAATCAACTGAGATACAAGGCTCTGAATAACCTAAAGAATTCAGAATTTTCAATACTTTTTCATGTCTTTATATTTTGATTAACTTTTTAATAATCCATTGACGACTTGACTTGGTGGATAAACAAGAGCTAAATCCAATTATCCATATACGTTGTCGACTTGACTTTTGATTTTGGAAACATTTGACCACTTACAGTTATTATATCACTATATGTAGCTGCGGCTGAGGGTAGCTAAGTGTGAAACCAAACGATCATACAGGTCAATATTTTTTTGGCTAATGCTCTTTAGATGTGATAAAGAGAATGAACGATTCTGATTTTAATATTCGGACAATAAATGTTCGTTAATAATAAATGAAAGGACAAGTAAATCCCTCGTAAAAGACACAAGCATTATCTATATTTTTTTATGTGCATTTGATGTTGTTGGTCCCTTTTTTTTGCTTGGCTTTTCCCACATGTCAGCAATTTAACCAATGAAAGAATCTCAGATGTTTTGTTGTGCAGCCAACTACCTGAATTGTATATATATTAATACACCAAGACGAGATTCTTTGTGTGAAATGAGTTCACTTCGTTGTTTCTTGTTCTGTCTTTATTCTTTGCCTCTGTTTTTTCCTCTTTCTTCTTTGTTCTTTGTTCTTTGTTCTCTGCCTTCCTTGTTCTTTCGTTCTCTGTCTTCTTTGTTCTTTGCTATGTCTTTGTTTTTTGGCTTTGTTCTTTGTATATATATTAATACACCAAGACGAGATTCTTTGTGTGAAATGAGTTCACTTCGTTGTTTCTTGTTCCTTGTCTTTATTCTTTGCCTCTGTTTTTTCCTCTTTCTTCTTTGTTCTCTGCCTTCCTTGTTCTTTCGTTCTTTGTTCTCTGTCTTCTTTGTTCTTTGCTATGTCTTTGTTTTTTGGCTTTGTTCTTTGTTCTCTGCCTTGTTTTTTGGCTTTGTTCTTTGTTCTCTGCCTTCTTTGTTCTTTCGTTCCTTGTTCTCTGTCTTCTTTTCCCACAGGTGTGAGACAAATAAATTTTGTTCTTTAAAAGATGTAACTGAGGTTTTCGTGGTTCCTACTCAATATTTTATTGATGTCAATCATATAATCTAATCAACTACTTTTTGGGTTCTTTTTAAGAAAATGGACATTATATTATTGGTTTAAAAAATGGCACGCCTTAATTGGCATTTGAGTCCAAATATCAAGTCATAATCGAATAGCAATTTACGTTGCATGACTTAACACGAGTTATTATTATTAATTTATTATTACTACTACTACTACTACTACTACTATTTTTATTAGAAGACGGATATGTCACATTACTTTTTTTACAAAAATTTTGGCACACATTTTTATGGGAACCATTCTATAATGTTTTACAACGATCGGAACCATCTATTTTTTAGGTTTTCTCTTAAGATCATGTCTACAAAAAATTATCCAAATCTAAAAAATATAACCCGTTAGATTAAGGGTTTAGGTATCTTTGAAGAATCGTATTCGTCCATTTTTTTTATTACAAATAAATGTCTTAATAGTTTTGGATTTGGCTAATATTTTGCAATATGAATGATGTTCTAAAAGATAGACGGTTTGGATTGTTAAAACACATTACAGAGTGGGCTCCACAAAAACTTGTATAAAAAAATAGTGTCACAGATCCTTCCCCATTGAAATATACAGTCCTTAAAAATAGTTATGAAATGATAACTACAAGAAAATATTTCAAAATGAGTGTCTAGGTGTCCGAGGATCCTGTGTATATATATACAATTTTTTTTTCTGGGGATTTTTTATTTTAACCAATATATCTCACTGTGCACCCAATTTACTCTATACACCTATATTATTTTTAATTAAACTATCAATATCTTTTTAAACTCCAGTGCACTACCTAAACTACCTTCACACCCAATCCAATATGTAAATTTATTTTTATAACAAATTAAAAAATCAAAAATAAAAATCTAACGTCAATACAGATAGAGAACATATGGGTAGAAAATATTCGTTGCTCTTTTTCTTCACCGAATCAACCCAACGTTGCAACGGGTTTCAACTTTTTATACTTGGATTCATGTTTGGTTAACAGAAAAGTTTTGATTTGTTGTGTATTTTGACGTTAATTAAACAAGTAACATATGGTGCTATCTGAGCAATAGAGATTTGGATTCATGTTTGGTTTTTGGATTGTATTTTTTGCTGGTAAACATGACATAGAGCATTCTTCTATAATTGTTGTCTGTAGCTAGTTTTCAACATTGCATGACTTGATTTTTAACTGTTGAATACTAAAAGTTTGTGTTTCTACTAATCGGGCTATGATAAAATCCGGATGCCATTGCTTGAATCTTTTCATTTCTGATGTCTATTTTACAGTCTCAACTAATAAGGGAGAGATTTTTCAATGTATCACACAGCTCAGTAAATCAAATGTCATAATGTAAGTGGAGATAAAAAAAATTTCTCAACTGCCTATTCACTTATATTATGACACCTGATGTACCAGATTGTGTTCCTGATACAATAAAAAAATCCCTCCTATTAATGATATTTTTCTAGCTATACTTCCTGATATGATATGATATGCCCTAAATAATTACTGCCGGTGTTGAAATGTGCAGTCCTTTGATCTTATTGGCTAGAGAGAAAAAAGAGGGCATCGTAATGGCATTGGTGGTCCAAGTGGTCCTGGTAGGCAAAAAGCAGGAATGCATGGGTTTGCTGCGTTCCCAATCTTATATTGTAATCTAAATGTTTACTGAATCTTAGCAGGGAAGGTTGCATCTGTTATTCGTTGCACTGCTGTGTCAATGGAGAATTATTATGATTTACAAATGATGAATTTATTTAAATCTAGACAGTTCAGATTTTTGAAAAGAATCTTACGTCATATTAAAAGACCTACGTGATAAACGTGAATTCAGTTTGTCTTAAAAGAGAATGGCAATGCAGCTAGCAGCTTCAATTTCTGCCACTCGACTCAAATCCTAGCTCTCTGCAAGCTATTCTCTCTCCACCTTGCAAACTGAAAACCTCGTCGTACCTATTTAGGGTCATTTAGTACATATATATTTGAGTTATTATGGATGGAAACATCAATAGATCAGTAACTTTAGATGAGGAGAACCCGGAAGGACAGAAAACAGGCAGGTTCGTCAGTATGGTAACTCCAGATGTGGAGAACCCGGCAGCAAAGAAAATGAGCAGGTTCGTACTCTCTCTCTCCCCCTCTTTCTCTTTAAAATATTTCGAATTCGGAACTTAGCATGCTCTTATCTGTCTCCCTCAAAGTATAGCAGTGCACCATGTAGCGCAATAAGGCGAGCAATCTGGCGTAGCGATGGGGAATCTGTGATAAGGCGTTGGGGATTCGCGGAGAGTCCCAAAATGCTGTGTTTATTCCTATTTATTTGCAAAACCCAAGTCCATCAAGGCGTAGCACTTGACCCATTCAACCTTTGTTAGCCTCACCAGGTTTGAGTGTTAAAATTTACAATCTTATGATGGGTAAGATGATGCCTGTAGCACATCATATCTTGACCAGGATGTCCCAAAAGTTCGTTCCAAAATACAAAATCACTCGAATCACACGACGTTCGGCCGGCCACATGGTGCACTCCATTCGGGCGGTGAACCATGGTCTTCAGAAATATGCTTCGCTCCATATTCATTGGAGGTGATGCAAATATATTCTACTTAATTTTTTTTCAGTGACGATTCCAACATAATCATTGTCCTTTTCAAATATCCTTAGAAATCTAAACAACTTTCTTTTTGAACGGGAGAATATAAGGGCCTCTCTATAAGGTGGGCGGTGCCAAGGCCTAGAAACAGGTTGGCTGGACCCGAATTGGTTGTTAAAGGAGAGATCTTAGGTATGAAGTTAGTATGCAAATTCGCACATTCATCCAGATAACTAACTTTCTCACTTTTGTACCAAATCACATGTTAATTTAATTTGGTAACTTTTATTTGAAAAACATGATTCAATTAACTCATATTCGAGGTCAATATCCATAATGATATCTAGGAATAGAACAAACACCAAACTTAAATCCGAGAACATAAAAATTGTTCACAAACTCAACTAAGTTCACCAAGGGGATTCGGCCAATATAGGGACTTCCATTTCAAAATTTTGCTCTTACATGCACCGACTTCTTAGCGGGATATCTGTACAAGGTGGTGTACCTTAAAGATCACAAGGTAAAATAATTCTCATATGCACCGACTTCTTGAGGGAAAATTTTTAGGTACTAGATAGTGATTGTATCATATACATATAATTATTGTAGGTTATCCCGTTAAATTATTGTTGAATTATTATTCAGGGACTAGTTTTGGCATTTTACATATCTAATAAGAGTACTCTTTTTTCCTAAGTATATAATGTTTGGAGTGCACAATTAGACTCTTTGGAGTTGCAATAACAATTCTCTTATTATTATTCATTATTATTTTACCTACGTTGTGCAAAGACGGATACTTGTTTTAGTGAAGAATGTATGAAATATACCTAATAGCTGCCATTAAAATCAGATTTATGTCTGATTTTATCTTGTTTAATTTGTTAGGGTTTAGGGGGTGAATTCATTTGAATTTCATTTGTTGCTTGTTGCGCGTTTCCCAGAGAGGGTGGAGAAAGTTCGAAATCAAAGAGCAGCAGGGGCCTTGCCTTTATAGAGAAGATTCGTAATGTGCAGCAGGAGCCTTATACCGTACGATATGGAGCAGAATATTTGTGATATCATGCATATTTCTATCTGGATCCTTTCTTACTAATATTCAAGGTCCATATCCATAATGATATCCAAGAATAGAACAAACACCAAACTTAAATCTGGGAACATAAGAATTATTCACAAACTCAACTAAGTTCACTAAGGGGATTCGGCCAATATAAGGACTTCGATTTCAAAATTTTGCTCTTACATGCACCGACTTCTTAGAGGGATATCTATACAAGGTAGTGTCTTTAAGATCACAAGGTAAAATATGTCTCATATGTAGTACTATAGAATGATACTCCTCACCAACATTGGTTTAGGGATACTATCCCTAAGCCTTGAAGTTTTTTATCCTAGAAGCCAAGGGATCACGCTCATGATCACGATTGCCACACCTTGGCGAACCCTAATTCTATCATTATTTGCCTATCATTATTCATGAGCTAGGGTTTGCTACCATGTCGTAGCCTATATGCCAATATAGGTTATTTGGGCTTTGTGAAGCACTTAACATTTGCTACAGAGTGTCTTTAAGCCAGTAGAAGCGCGCCTGACCACTTAAGTCCATGAATTGTACCATTCATGGACTTAAGTGGTCCATAAGAGTGATCCAAAGATCCATGGCAGAGGCTTTTGTCACCACTTCCACGCCATTGTTAGCCCTCAATGGTTTTTCAATTTCTTGGTAGTTAATTGAAACTTCACATCTTCTTTCACAAATGTGAAAATTAGTGCTTTGTGAATAAGACATCCATTGGCATCATATTTAGAACATTCGAGTTCTAATACATGATTTGGCTTAACAGATTAATTGTAAAGCACATATGGTCTCAAAATGAGTGGTGCGTTCTTAGAAACTCAAAAGGTTACTATGGTGTGCTCTAAACTTCTAACTCGAGAATGAAACATACCTGCATTCTCAATAGAAATACAAATATACGATATATGCAACTCAATTGAAAAAAAACACACACACACACAAAATATTGCACAATATAATCGACGGTTAAATCAAATTCAGTTAAACTTTTTCGTTTCTTTCTTTCGGCTTTCCTTGAGATGAACACACGGGTCCAGTGGTGCTAGCTGGGCGAAAATGTACAAAGCCCATCGTGGCAAAGGGGGTGATGACTTTGGTTAGGTCCATCAATGTACAATGACGGCCCACAGAAGATTCTCACGTTATGTGCATAGCATACCTTAGACTGAAGGATCCAGTTCTTGATCGCCGGCTTGTTTGACGGTTCCGCCTTCGACAGTGCCACCACAGCGTGGCCCGGTGGAGCTCAAAGCAACTATTGTGATAGAATCAGACATGGTAAAAGGGAAATTGCATGAAAGTAAATGCAGGAAATGGAAAAGAAAATCAAAGGAAATTCATATCTTCACTTTATACGTTCTTTGCATCATAAAAGGGATTTAAATACACCCAAAGATAGTAAGAGTTTGAGGTATAAATGGGCCTAATAGTATTACGTAAATAGTGGGCCTAATGGGTAGTAATGATAATAGGCGGTCTAACTAGTTATAACCGAAACCTTTAGCTTAGAGTCGCATCATATTGTCTTCTCGACGATGGTCCAGGCGAAGGGACAGAAAGAGAGCGCCACAAGTTCGTAAATAAAATAAATTTCGCGGCGAGAGTACGTCGCCGTTGGGGGAGAAGGGACGCAAGAGGCTATGGTGGGCTCCACCGAAGACTGGGCATGGGTGATGGCTTTAGTAGCCATTAGGCCTGCGGCGTTGCTTGCTGCTACCTCACCAACGCCGGCCTCGTCAAAATCGACGGAGGTGTGGTTAGTCCGATCGTACAAAACCCAAATTCGGGAGAGATTTAGGATAATCTCACAATCCTGGACTCCATCATCTCAAAAACGATGTTCGCTGACATCGAAGATGGGATTTTGGCCATTCACGACGACCTAAAGTTGTCAGTGGCGTCGGTGAAAACCAGAGATGCCTTGAAGCCAACTTCGTAATATCATTGTCGAATTATTATCGAGGACTATTTTGGCATTTGGCAACTCTAATTGTGGACTCCTCATACGAGTAATATTGTTCTCTCATTATTTTGCGTTATGCAAAGATGAATACCTGCTTCAGTGAAGAATGAAATATAAGGTTTAGGGTGAATGCATATGAATTTCATTTGTTTTTTGTTGCATGTTTCCCAGAGAGGCTGGAGAACGTTCGAAATCGATGTGCAGCAGGGGCCTTAACTTGATAAGGAAGATTCGTAACTCGCAGCTGGGGCCTTACCTTCCAAGATGGAGCAGTATATATGTGACATCATGCGTATTTGCTGTCTCTCTTGATCCTTTCTTCTTTTATGTTGTGGTCGTCGATCAGAATCAGGATAACAAGTGCTTTGAAATAGACAAAACGTTGGCTATTGTTGTTTCAATTATGCGATCGATCACGGATGTCATTTTCGCAGCGCATTTCATATGTGAAATCTGTAAGGGTGTTCAAAATCCAAATCCAAAAACCCTGAAAAAAGGAGCCTCTTCGAAGATGGAACAAACCGGGAGAAATTCAGATAAGAAAACGAAAATCAGAGAGTTGACTGATCAAGTGGTCATGAAAATAGCTCAGAAGATGCCGTGGTTATCTATCTTTACTGTAATAGACTTTTTCGCTCTTCTTCCCCTCCCACAAGTAAGAGAACTGAACTAAACTGTAATTTTCTCTTTTGTGGCTAACTGAAATTGAGATGGACTTCTAAGTTCTCACCCTTTTTTATCTTTTGATTTTCTGCAGGTGCTAATAATAGATATGTTTTACACAGTGGAAGGCTCAGGATATGTGGAATACAACAAGGTCATGAATGTCCTGAATGTTATTCTTCTCTGTCAATATTTTACAAGGATTTATCTACTATCGGCCATAGAATACGAAATGACTAATAGCATATGGGTTAAGGGTCTATACAACTTGTTTCTCTACATTCTTGCCAGCCATGTAAGTTCCACCTCAATTGTCATTCAATTTTAATAGCAATTTTTTTTTAAATGTTAGACTAATTATTTGGGGTTCTGTGTTTGCATGTTATGAATTTAGGCACTCGGAGCTTTTTGGTACCTTTTTTCCATTCAACGAGAGATATCATGTTGGCACGAGGCTTGTGTAAATCATAGTATAGATCACAGGGAATGTATGAATACTTACTATTGTGATAGTCGGAATACTACGGCAAGAAATATAAGATTTCTAAATAAGCATTGCCCGTTGGATACTCCAGATGGTGCTTTATCTCCGTTTAACTTTGGAATATTTCTTGATTCCTTAAAGAATCTAAACACGGAGCATATAAAGTTCGAAAAGAAGTTCTTTTACTCTTTATGGTGGGGCTTGCGAAATCTGAGGTTTGCATCATATCCATTGACAATCAACAATTTTTAGAAAATATGTAACAAATAATTTTTTGGAGTTATTCAGCAACATTGTCTAATGTGATATCATGTACCTTAATCTTTTGCAGTAATTATGGGACCAATCTGACAACAAGTACGTATGTGTGGGAAAACGTGTTTGCGATTTTCATTTCTGTCGTTGGCTTGCTACTGTTTTATTATTTCATTGGAAACATGCAGGTGGGTAAATTCAATCTCTCTATACACTAACTTTCAACAATTTTTTCGTATCTGGGGCTGCATGCGGAGGTCATTCTTCGAGTATTTTAAGTAATTGTTTGATTTGTGGCTAATTGTTTGATTTGTGGCGAGATAGACTTATATGCAGATAAAAACTACAAAATCAGTGGAGGAGATGAAAACTACAAAATCAGTGGAGGATATGAAACAAGAAGAGTTAAAAAAAGAAGAGTTGAGACAAAAGACTATGCTGAGGAAGCTAGACGCACAGTGTTGGATGGCCACAAATGAAGTCCCTCATGAAATAAGGGAAGAAATCTTGAGATGCATAAACGACCACATTGATGCTGATCTCCATAAGTTTCTATTCTCTTTTCTTCCCGTGAAAACCAGAACATCTCTGAAGCAGTGGCTTTGCATGAAAACACTTAAGAAAGTATGTGGCACAACCTCCATCTCTCACCATTAATTTATTGTATATATTGTTTTAAAACAAAATGACGTTAACATTCAACGTTTGAAGTACAATAAAGATAAGATTGCACTATAATCTTAAAGTTTATTGTCCAAAGTTATATGATATTTCTAAGTTAGTTAACAACCGAATAACGTTGTTATTACTATAACTAGGTTAATTGCATCCATTTTCACTGCAATGTTGTTCTGATAATATACGTCCGTGCGTGAGCACACATTTGTGTAGATAAAAAAGCTTCAACACATGGATGAAAAAGTGTTGACGTTGATGTGCGGCTATCTGAAGCCAGTGACGTACATTGAGAACAGCATCATTTTTCGAATGGGAGATCTACTCGATAGCATGCTGATCATTATCGAAGGGACAGTGTGGACTTACGCGTCGACTGATAGTCAAGCTGGGCAAGGAATCTCATTAATGGACACCGAGCCCCTCGGGAAAGGTCACTGTTACGGGGAAGAGCTTCTCGATTGCGCATCAGACTGTTTCACAAAGCTTCCAGTCTCTAGCAAGCATGTCAAATGCCACACAAAAATAGAAGCATTTGTGCTCCTGGCCAAGGACTTGGAAACTGTAGTTTCCAGGTACCCGCTACTGTGGCAGAAAAGCGAGAAGGTTTCTCATAAGGTGGAGAACATAGCAGCTTCTACCATAGCAAAAGCATACCGTCATCATCTAGAGCGGCGGGCTGAGGCCTAAGTGAACTAGGTGGTTTAAGCAAGTTTTTGTTATAATAGAAGGCACTAAACGCTTAATCTATTATAAACCCGGTTACATTTAATAGAAAACTTCATTTAATCCTTGGAAAATATGACTTTTAGATTAAAATCATGAGTAAGATTAAAATCTAATTGTAGTCCCTTGATACATTAATAACCTTATTTATTAATTATATTTTGATTTTTTAATTATTTCTCTTTTTCTTCCTAATTTTTAATGTATTAATTTTATTTCATTATAATTTTCATTTTTATTTCATTTATCATAATATATTTTGTTGTAAACATTTAGATAAACTAATTTTTGTTATAAAATATATTTCGATGTACTTTGTCTTCTTCTTTTAGGTGCATAAAATTCATTAGAATACATTTCGGTGCATACATTTAGGTACACACATTTCGGTATATACATTTCGATACAAACATTTAGGTACATTAATTCAATATAATACATTTTGGTACTAACATTTCGGTGCGTATATTTTGGTACACACATTTAGGTACATTAATTTAATATAATACATTTCGGTGCATATATGTAATGACCCGTCCCCAATTTTACGGTTTTTATAATTTTAATAAGTGAATTTATGAAAATGCCCTTTGAGGCAAATGCGTTGACTTTTGTTGACTACCATGTCGTGCCACGTATGACTCGTTTTCTTGGCGTATCCTCGTAGCATTCGTCCTTACGAACACGTAGGTGCAAACAGAACGTAATTTAGAGTTATAACAAAGATTCTACAAACCTTTAAACGTCAAGGGCATTTTGGTAAATTGACAATTGAACATGTTAAATTGGTTGTGTGCCACGTGGGACCCACAGATTGGTCCCCATTTTTCTGGATTATTCTTTTCCTCTTCTCCTTCTTTATCCCGTGACTCTCTACTCAACTCACATATCTCTCTCTCGCCCTCAAGTCCCTCCCCGTGACACTTTAGCACCAATCCACCTTCCCTACGAATTAACGACTTGAAAATCACCGTATTCTTACTCTCCTCGGACCTAGAAACCTGAATCAAATTTTGGTTTCTTGGAATACTGTGCACATATGCCATTTCAAGAACCTTCATTGGAGCAGTGGGTTTCCCTTCAGTTTCAGACAATTTCCAGCCATCTTTTGAACTAAAACGATTCCTGTCGTCAATTAGATAAATTTTCATGTTTGGATCGTTTAATTTAGTGAAGAAATGAGAAAGTTATAACTATTTAAAGTTTGCCCAGTTTCTGGCGACCTCCGCCACTTTCGAGGTATTTTACGGCCAAAACACGGCGATTTATCCATCGTACAAGGTACCAATATCTTCGTCTTGTTGAGAACTATGATTTCCGTTTTTGAATCACTTGATTTCGTTGAGTATTAACAAAGTTATGGACATTGAAAGGTTGCCCAGAAATTCTAGCGAATTTCCCTGTTTCCCGCGGATAGCTGTCTTTCAGGCCATTTTCTGATCATCTCTGGCGACCATTTGGACTCCAAGCAATATAATTTTGTTCTAAACTTCTCTAGCTTCGATTTGGTATATTATGGGTTGAATTTGGTTTAGAAACAAGTGAGATATGGAGTTCTAAAGATTGCCCAGGAAATCTACAAAATCTGCAGAATCCGGCGAAATTTCATTAAGGTCCGCCACTTGAATAGTATAGCAATTGAAAATCCGACCGTTGGATCATCACTAAACTCTAATACCTTATAGTACATAATATTTGAGGACCATAGAAACTTACGGATTGGGGATTCGACGTACGGATCTTCCTGAATTGGATTTGTAAGTTCATAAAATAAAACGTTAACCACCACTTAAATTTGCAATTGGCGGAGATCCAACCGTTGGATTGTAATGAATTTTTTTTATGATGTTGTAGAAGCATAATATGGATCTTTGGAAGTTATTGATCGGAAATTTGAGTTGTAGGTCTTCCGGATCGAGTTGTGTAGGGTTGTGGACCCTACCATCGATCTTTGACCGACGGTTGACTTTTGGTCAATAGGTCTCAAATCATTCTAGAATGTCCTTGAGGATGTGTTTTATGTGAGTTCTGTGTTCTATTGATACGGATTCTGAGATATGGTTTGATAATTGTTCTAGGCGCTGATTGTTCGTGACGCCTCGATGTTTGTGTTAGGGAGTTGTAGCGTGGACTCCAGGTGAGTGGACTTTTGGTTTTCTATATATATATATATATATTTCCCAAAAACTGTTTTAAATGGAATTTCGTTTAAAATGCCATGTCATATTTGCTTTACATTTTAGCATATGCATTAGTATAGCTTTGCATAATATTGCATAATGTTGCGGAGGCCCAGGTAAGTTCAAGTGAGTACATATTGATGGTATGGTTGCATGGTAGTTGGTTATGAGTTGATGCATATAGAGCTCATTCTCTTGCACCCCGGTGTTAGTGCTCCGCCCGTGGCTAGGGCCTAGCCTTCACGTGATTGTTCACCTCCCGCATCGCACGCTCACCTTGGATCCAAGGCAGATGCCAGCCTGTCGTACAGACCACATTAGGTGGTTCCAACTCGTAGGTGACCCGCGATTTATCGCATAGCCTTCACGTGATCGTAGCACTTGAGCATACTTAATTACACCCAGCCCGTCATACAAACCACATTAGGTGGTTCCGACTCGTGTGCATGTTTATAGCCGTACAGGTCACATTAGGTGACTCCAGCTGGATTGATGAGCAATAGGTTCAGCCGTACAGGTTATAATAGGTGACTCCGGCTGGCATATAATTTTTACATTGATTTATATCACCTGGCTTACATATTTACTGCTAAGATACTTGACATGGCATATTCCTTGATTTACACTGTTTTGAGCAAGATTTTTATATACGTATGTATTACTATTTTCTGGAAAAATTATATGGGTTTTATGGTGAGGGGTTATAACGTTTTCTAAAGGTTTTCATTAAAACTTTATTTTCAGGCCCACTCACCCTTGTTTTTCGCCCCTCCAGTTTTAGCTGCTGAAAGTTCGTATCAACGAGGATTCTTAGCGAATCTCAGCATAGGTGGCTACCTTTGAGGGTATGATCCTTACCCCCACTACTGTACTTTACTTATGCTCTGACATCGCGTGTGAAATGAGTTCATTCCCGCTCACAGCGCACTCTGGTCTTTAGGCACTTTTAGGTTTAATTTATTCACATTTTTCACATCACTATATTTTATGGCTTCGTCACCTTCCAGGTGTCGGTCAGCATAGCCCGATTCGAAGTCCTAAGGGACATTCCGGGCTGGGGTGTGTCAATATATTTCGGTACATACATTTCGATACTAACATTTAAATTCATTAGTTCAATATAATACATTTCAATACACACATTTCGGTACTAACATTTAGGTACATTAATTGAGTCTTTCAAGTTTGAAGAATGTTAAATAAAATTAATAAATTAAAAAACTGTTTTTTGGTAAAAAAAATAAATTAAAATTTGTATGTTAATAAATTTAATTATTTAATGGGAGACATTAAATAAAATGCACATTAATTATTTTGAATTAAGGACACATCAAGGGATTATAATCAATATGTAATCTAACACCAGGTTTATTTTAAATTTCAATCTTCTTGAAGGATTAAAGTTAAAAAAACCCCCAAATTTAATCTATCGATAACCTAATTAAATTTTTGATGTAGGTACTACAATAAGTATGGTCTCTATATTAAATATGGATGTTGGTGGCTTCTCATATATCAAAGCCATGCTTTTATCTATTTTAATTAGGTTGCATTGTAACTATAATATGTTATTGTCTATCCTACTAATGTAAGGTACCCTCTTATTTAAAGGGCTCCATATGTAAGATTGAGTAGACAATTCGTGAAATAAAGTTAATTTAAGAAGAAAGTGAGTTTCTCCTTCCTAAACAAGCATTTGGCTTGATCATGTTGAGTGAATCCACGATTAGCGACGTGAGTGATTCTGTAACATCCCACATCGCCCAGGAGAGTGATCCTTAAATGTATATTCTCATCCTTACCTAGCACGAGGCCTTTTGGGAGCTCACTGGATTTAGGTTCCATCGGAACTCCGAAGTTAAGCGAGTTCGTGTGAGAGCACTCCCATGATAGGTGACCCACTAGGAAGTTGCTCGTGAGTTCCTAGAAACAAAACCGTGAGGGCATGGTCGGGGCTCAAAACGGACAATATCATGCTACGGTGGTGGAAAGGGCTTAGGATGTGGTGGACCCCGGGTCGAGATGTGACAATTTGGTATCAGAGCCTAACCCTGGCCGTGGTGTGCCGACGAAGACGTCGGGCCTTTAAGGGGGGTGGATTGTAACATCCCACATCGCATAGGGGAGTGATCCTTAAATGTATATTCTCATCTCTACCTAGCACGAGACCTTTTGGGAGCTCACTGACTTCGGGTTCCATCGGAACTCCGAAGTTAAGCAAGTCCGCGCGAAAGCACTCCCATGATGGGTGACCTACTGGGAAGTTGCTCGTGAGTTCCCAGAAACAAAATTGTGAGGGCATGGTCGGGGCTCAAAGCGGACAATATCGTGCTACGGTGGTGGAGCGGGCTCGGGATGTGGTGGACCCCGGGCCGGGATGTGACAGATTCGGTTGCCCCTGGTTGAGTGATTCCAAGGTTCTATCCTTGTAGCGATGTCGAGCGAATCTGTTGTCCCTGGTTGGGTGACCTACTAGGAAGTTGCTCGTGAGTTCCCAAAAACAAAACTGTGAGGGCATGGTCGGGGCTCAAAGCGGACAATATCGTGCTACGGTGGTGGAGCGGGCTCGGGATGTGGTGGACCCCGGGCCGAGATGTGACAGATTATGTTGCCCCTGGTTGAGTGATTCCAAGGTTCTATCCTTGTAGCGATGTCGAGCGAATCTGTTGTCCCTGGTTGAGTGATTCTCATGTTATCATCATGCGTCTTCCCGAGACTCCTTTGGCTTTGATGAGTTCATATTATACCATATATTTTACCCTAATCTTAGTATTAATTTATTGGTTATGATACTTTGTTATGTATTTTCAATGTAGGAATTCCTCTGGAGCAAAAAGTGATCAAACAGATGAATTTTGGAGTGATTCCATTGAAAAATGTTCGTGAGTCTTTCAAGATAATTGTATCAAAATTTCAGATTTTTCTACTAAGCTGTTTGACCGTGGTGATGAAAAGAAGGCTCAGAGCCCAGCTTTTCTAGATTGATGTTTTTA